AAATAATCATTAGTTACAGCCCTAATTTTATGGTAACATTCCAAACACATTTCTTCCATAATACTGAAGAGCTGCTGCTTCACCCCGAGGCTGCCCTGCATCATTATATCTGTTTCCTACAATCATTTAATGTTTCTATTATACAAGTGCGTTTTTAATAGTAAAGGATTAAATGTAACACAACCTTTTATCATCATTCTATATTGCTACTGTCTGACTGTTTAAATAGCTCCTTATGTCATTTTTATTTTAGTGAATTCATCTACAAACACAACACTAAGAATGAGCCTAAGTTTATTTAAATATAAAATCACTTTCAACAATTATAAAAGACAATATAACACTTTCTTATCTGTAATGTAATAGTATCCAAATTAACAGTCAGATTAAAGCAGACATTAATATTTGTACTAATTTACTTATGGACCGTGTGGAAATGTAGAAAAATAGAATCAGTGTAAATAGATTTCTTCTGTTTGTCTTTATTCTATTTCTAGAAGTAGAAGTTAATTAAATAGAACTATTTTTGTGTGGAAAACAAAAAAATAGCAGATCTATAGCATCTTTCTCGTTTTGTTATGATCTACAAAAGAGATAAAACCTGTTATTTATACCTGAACTGCCGTCAGAAATGAAAACAGTAACAGCAAATAAATATTGGTGAAAGGGAATCAGAAATGTTGATAGTTTACAGTCTTTGTTCATTTTGAGAGCAGTTCTCTGAACTCCTGCCTGACTCAGAATATTTAGATTCAGAAAGAAATCCTAACGTTGGTTACTTTCATTTCTCTAGTTCCACAAATCAAAACTTTTTCTTCATCTTTATAGAACTGCGATCAGAAGCTTTCGCCTGTTTTAGTGTAGATAATATATAGTTGTTTAATTTGGACTTGTTTCATAACCTAATATTAATTTTGGTAACCGCCGTATTCTAGTGTCATTTATTTTTTTAATTTGTGCTCCAAGAACGCAGACTAGAAAACAAGCAATCAGTAAGAGAAAAGGAGGAATTTAAGGCAGAAAAATCAGAAAGTTAAACATCGCAGCACAGTTGATGCACTGCTATGTGAAAGTTACAGGAAAGAGCAGGCAGCTGCAGCTACCAGGCAGAGAAGCTGCGAGAGGAAAAGAAGCAGCTGCTGCAACAACTACTGCTGTTAATTATAACCATGTTGTTCACATTCAGTTATTGGTATAGGGACAAATAGGTCGGTCCAACATTTTGGTAAAGACATGTCCCTATGCAAACCTACTGTTGTCACAACGCACATTTTCACTCCTGGCCTGATTAAACCTGCAAACGGAACCGACGGCATTTTTTTTGTTCAGATATTACTCACTGAGAGAGCGTGTTGCTTCTTGTACAGTATCAATGTCGTTATAGATGAAAGTGTTCATTGAGGGTTGGATTCCCATGAGTTCAGCTGAGTCAGTGTTTTCTCTCTTATTGTTCAGATCTATCAGGTGTAGGAAATGTTCCTACTAGATGTTTTCAGGAGCTTCACCACAGTTAATTTAGTTCAGTAACAATCGTATCAATCTTATTAATTATTTTTTTAATGCATTGATGTTTTTGGGCCCTATATTTGTAATCCACTAAAAGGCATCTCGAGGACGTCTTTGTCACTCCCTAACATCAGATTGGTGTAAAGATCAGCATGCATTCTCATTTGCTTATAAAAAAAAAAAGTAAAGTCAACAATCACCTTATAAAATCAGGTTATTTTAACACTGAGTGAAATGTGCATCAGGCATTGCATTTTATCATATTATGCAGCTCCTTCGTGAAAGTCAGCCGCCCCCGCTCTGAACACCACGAGATAGAACAGGCCACCAGTTATTAGTGGTGAAAAATGGAGGCAAGATGAAGGAATCTACACTGAAACAAGTTAAGCTGAGCTTTGGGAAGCCAACAGGTCAGGGGGAAAGAAAGAGAGAAGGAGGTGAGTTCATATATCATTCAAAGCATGGCTAGGAATAGGATGCTTAGAGCCTGCTTAAAACTATTGATGCACACGGGGCAAAATAATAGAAATAGTGCTACATTTTTCTTGAGGTTGCCTAGTTGAGTTGCTCATGTTGCATCATGAAGAATACAGATTTCTGCTTCTGCTATTTCAAAACTATTGATGAACAAATAAAGTAGCCTAGACATTCAGTCAGAGCAGGATCTAGGATTCTAGGAGACCAGGGGCTTAGCCCTGAGGGTGAAGATGACTTTCTGGTATCTCCCATTATAATGTAAAATATGACAGATTAGTGGATTCAAGAAATTTCTAATATGCTATACCCTGGAAAAAGTATAACGTTGCTGAAATAAAAAAATGATGTCCAGATATCGCATCTAAAATATTTGACTCCACAGAATCTGAATTTAATCGCTTCTTATGACCTGATTATATTATGTTGCAATGCAAACAATAATACTGCATTTGACACTTAAAATCTTTGCCCTGTTCCAAATGATTTTCTAAACATTTCAGTTGATGAACCAAACTAATATATTGACATTGGACCAGCAAAGTTTGTTTAGCTCTGGATGTAGCCGGGTTGAACAGTTGAACATTGATTATATGCAACTGCTTTGCTACTTGCGTTTATTTATCATCGACCCAGGATGCAGAGACGACTCTCATGGTCTGGAACTTGGACTTGATCACGTGCTCTGGCAGCATGCAAAGCGCAGTTCACAGGTGACTTGAACACAACATACAAGTGAAAATTAGATTTTCAGAAAGATGAAAAATAATCAGATTTTTTTTCATTGCAGCTGCTAGAGGTAACACTGCTGCCTTGCAGCGAGAAGGTTCCGGGTTCTATTCCCGGCCCAGGGTATTTTTGCATGGAGTTTGTATCTTCTTCCTGTGCATGCGTGGGTTCTCTCCGGGTACCCTGGCTTCCTCCCGCAGTCCAAAAACATGACTGTTAGGTTAATTACCTATATTCTCCTGAAGTGTGAGTGTGTGGGTGAATAATTTTGGAAAGAAAGAAAAGAAATTTTAACGTAATTTTTCTTTTTTTTATATCCATATTCCCCAAATGAATATTGTTTTAATTATATTCACAGTTTCTCACGCCTCATTTACTCTTCCAATAGTGCTAGAATGACAGATATTGAATCTGTTGCCATGACAGTAATGATTGTTCCTTAAACTTACACCTTTAATTGATATACATCTTATCATTGTTGCTGTTCTTGATCAATTCTTTTTTTAGCTATTAGCCCAGTCCCATAAAGAGAAAACAAATCAACAATGACAATAAATATGCAGCATAATGTTTACAGATGAAGATGCGCCGCTTTCACATTTCTGCCTGCCCCTCATATAGTGAAGCCTGGAACCGACCCTGATCTGCATAACAGCAGAAAAGTTGTTTCATTTTGGAAACCACTCCACCAGGCAAGGGACTGTTCTACCTGATGAACTGACAGACATAAGTTAGAAAATAAACACTTTACAGAGAGTCTTTGATCAACTATATTTCCTCAATAATTGGATTGTTTTTTTTTTATTCAAGTCAAAATATGTTCTTCTAAAGTGTCTTTATCAGATCTGCTCTAAACAGCATCAGATCTGCAACCTGTTCCTCATTAGGTCCATAATGACTCATTATCATCTAAGTCTAATAGAAGGGAACATTATATATATGCCCTATTGAAGTCTAGTCTTTCTGTTTCTATATACATTTTCTTCTAAAGTATTACCAAGGATTCATTTATGGTGAAAATCTGTTCCTTCTCTTTGTGTGACTTAGTTGTTTTATTTAGTTCTAAAATTGCAATCAACACACATGATACTTTAATACAATTAATTTTCAGAATTGATCAACTGTTCAAATGTTTTCTAAGGTTCATGTAAGACAAGACATGAACCTTAGTTGGATTGAAACATGTCTTTGGATTGTAAAGGTCACTGACCCTGCTGTTTCTATTTATTGTTCTAGATTCACACATGATGTAAACAAAGATCCTCATCAAACAAACTGAAGTTCTAGAAACCTCCTCTGTCTCCTCTCCTCAGGAGAAGATGATCTCCAGGATCCTGCTGCTCATCATCATCAACTCATGTCTCTGTGGTCAGTTTCCATCTTCTCTTTGTTCTAAATCCATCAATAATCAGTGAAAAGTCTGTCAGTGAAGGTAACACTTCAATCCTCCAGCTGCATTTGATCAAGCAGTTTGNCGTAAACTGCCGCTAACCTGAAGTTCCACGACAATCTACAGTGCCGTATATTGACGAAAATCCCACTTTTCATGCAGTGATGAGGAATGACTGGAATAGTTTTCTGTGTTCTTTAGGGGTTGGAATTTTTTCCTTCATGATGCTGCAAAGTCAATAACTCTCCATTAACAGTTGTTCTTCCTCCTCTCTCATCAATAAAAGAAGGAAGCAGTTTAATTCTATTTTATCAAAAACATTTCAAACCTTAGAAGAACATTAACTTAATCAGTTTGTGGGTGTGCTTTCATCAGTAGATGGATATATTAGAACGCATCAGTTTTATGCATTTCAGTCAATAAAATATAGTTTTACCTTTGATACAGATCTGAACTACAACGAGCACACAGGGGGAAAAGGTGAACATAATTGTATCACATTTTCTTCTTAGTAAAGAAATGAAAACATGTTAAACTGCATTCTTTGTGCATCATGTCACTCTGTCTCTTGATGTCTGTGTTATAAATTCTGCCCATTCCTTTCTGAGTTCTTCGTCCTTATTGAAGCAGATAAACTGAGATAACGATTCTCAGCAGCAGTGACTGTCTTTCCTGTGGCTTTGATGATCCAATGCTTTTCACAAACACATTTACATCGGGTGGAGCTACTACAAAATTTTTACAAACCATTTTTTTTATTAATATACATTTAGAAAAAAGAAGAAGTTTTTTTTATATCTAATTTGCTGAATATATGTCTATACATAGATTTAGCAGAAAACAGTATTCCCCCACACCTTCAGTTGCCTTCCGTATGTTGTTGATGGGAATCTTCTACTAACCAGTTTGTTCTTTTAACTGGTTCTTTGTGTTGACATAGAATAAAGTCTGATTAATTGTATTATCTGTGGACCTCTCACTTTGTGTGGTCCTTATTGTGGTCCAGAGAATTGTTGAATAGCCACAGCAGTGTTTGTCAGCAATGATCATTATGTTGGAGAGATGCAGGCAGAGGAGGAAGAAAACATTTAGCTTAGATGTTTAGAGCCTAAAACATTGAGCGGTGATTTATGGCTGCTGAATCATTCTAACAGACTGAGTCATTATGCCATTGTTTTCAGTCTTTGACTGTAATGCCTTATCAGCTGTCACTCCATATTTTAGACAAACAGGATCGACACATGAAAAACTTCCACTCACTTTCTATTAGATACAATATTAGCTGTAAGCCAATAACTTCCAGCAGGCGTTTTTAAATAATGACAGAAGCAAGCATCCATTTTATTTTTTTTATTTTTTATTGAATTCTGACAATATTATTTACTTCCAAGGAACGTAGAAGAATTCACCAGATTCCTCTTTCTCCTCCTGAACAGAAGCTTCTAGAATCAAAGGAGGAAAAACTGAAGCTCTGATGTCTAAAGGCTGTTTTTATTGATCACTGGAGAAACAAGGAAACTGATCTTAGAGAAAACTGATGGTTTTTATCAGCTGTTATATCAGTTTTATTATCCATGTAGTCTGTGGATGAGGGGAACTAATTTCCCACGCCTCTTTTAGAGCTGCTCAGGTCTTAACTTTCCTGTTTCTGACACAGTTAGTGATAAACAACCCCAATATTCTCACCCACATTCATACGTCAGAATAACTTTGAAATAAAGCTTGAATTTAATAGTCGTTCCTTTCATAGACATAAAATGGGCAGAAAATCTCCCAGAAAGATAAAAACCACTTGATGTAATAATGAGGAAAGTCATTGCAGTTTGGCTGCTGGTGATGATTTTAAATAATTTTTCTCCAAGTATTGTGTGGACATGGCATCATTTAACTGATTGCCTCTATGTGAAGCTCTTTCAACTAAAATATTTAATTACATGTTAAAATTTAAAGATTTTATGAAAACTCCTGTCACAAAAGCACAGGTTGGATTTTTATGGCTCATTTCTTTTGAACAGATTTATATGAAGGAACAAAAGGTGCTTCTATTCCAACCTGATACTTTGGGCTTTCTATAGACATTAAAATGGATCCAACTGAGACTTTGGGGAATTTATATTAAAGTAAAAGCTGTGTCCACCCCCCCCTTCTCCCCTGGAGGGTTTGAAACATATGTTTATCATACAATTGAAACGTATCTAGAGTTTAAACATTAAGACATAGGCCTACATAGTTTATTTTTCAGGGGGGGTGAATCATGGCAGACTGCTAGTTTCTTCATGAAGACCCACCATCAAGGGGTTTGATGTGATACTGAGCTTTCATCATGGGGGTCCACCTAAACTATAAACTGGGCCGCAGTAACGGCAATGATGCTCTTCCATGGGAAGACTCTGAAGCAGACTCAGCCTGCTGAGGAGATGGGATCTGTTATGGCTGATGGACACAAAATAAAGATCATTCTAGTCATAATGTTCTGTCATTATTTCCACACATACACACAGTCATAGCCATCCCAGAGTATTACATGCAGCTCCCCCTCCCTGGTATCAGAGGGGGTCTGGTTGTCCTCTTTACTGCTCTTAAACAGCAGCAAATTAACTGGGGAAATGAGTAATGGTCAGCAGCGGGACTTTATTTGAAATCTGGCTTCCTAGTTGGTATTTTGTTCCTTTCTATCTGAACAGAAGTCAGTGTGGACATTGACAGATTTTTCCTCTTCAATCTTTGGAGTTCAGGAGCTCAGCTCATGGAGGGGGGCAGCAAAGCTCATCAACTGAGGAGAGGAAAACATGGTCGCTGTCAAACCCCCTCTAGAAAATAAATATTTTTCTAGTTGGCATTTTCCATACTTGACAGCATGAAATGATCAATAACAGAGTGAAGGCACTGATTATGCGTCCTTCTGATCTTTCATTTCCCCTCTTAACGCTTTCCCTTCTGACACAGCTGGTTTGGGCACACGTCCAAGGCCGAGCACTATCCGGACAGGTTTGGCAGCGGAGTTGATTCCTCCGCCAGAGCTGGGATGTCATAAATCAGGCCAGTCAGTGTTTGTCTATTTCAGTCCCTTTCGGTTTATCATATAATGAGATGACAGTCTCCGCATTCCTAAGTGCGCATTCCTAAGGTTTACAAACGGGGCTGCAGGGTGGAGCAGTTTGCAGCTCTGTCGGTTACTTTTACTATTTCAAGTTAAAATAGTTAAACTATTCAAATATTGGTTAAATTAATCAGCCCATTTTATTCACAAAGTAAATCTATCTTCTAAACTGCTTGGTAACTAAACAGGCTTTAAGTCAAAGAACAAAGCAGTCAGACAATCACAGCTGGTTTGTTCATTTTCAGGAAGACTTTAAACTGCTGAAACCTTTAGACTTGTGGCCCAGCTTTGATGGCTCTAAAAAGTGAAAATCCACTGCTGGAGAGAAATCAGAAATATTTATTTCTACTTGTTCATGTTTCAAAGTGATTTTCATTTATTACTTTTATAGTGTAAGTAGTTTTAAAAAAATGGTACTTTAACACTTTGAGAGAAAGGCTTAAGTTAATACTCTAACTTCCACAAAAGCGTTTTCAGAAGGATTTATATTCTACTTAGGCATTAACATTTTTAACACATGTAGCTTTGTCTCGTGTCCATGAAGTGGGGAGACTGGAATACCAAACTTTCTCACGCATTACTGGGCAATGTTTCTCTACTACCATATGAGCGTTTTTCCTGCGGGACGTTGTCGGGTTTGACTCTTGATACTTTGACGTAATTTTTCAGTCCTGCCCATTGTGTGGTGCAATATTCAGTCAACCAATCAGACATCAAGTGGCTCTTACGAACCTCCCACCATCTGCTTGGCTTGTATTTATTCCAGCGCACCAGAGTGTTCAGTGATGGTTGTATTCCCATGAGTTCAGGTGAGTGAGTGTTTTCTCTGTTATTGTTCAGATCTATCAGGTGAGGGAACTGTTCCTACTAGATGTTTTCAGGAGCTTCACCACAGTTCAGTTCAGTTCAGCATCAATCGTAGCGGTAGAGCAGCGGTGTCCTGCTGGGAAACGGAGCAGACAGAC